ATGGGGTGATCATTTATGACGAGGGAGAGAGAGAGTATGTTTGTGTTACGTATAAAGTTTAAGAGTTTGATTTAGGAAATTTGATCTTTTTATCAGTTGGTTTAACTGTAATTTAAAGGATGAGAGTGAGCAGATTGTGAGGCCACGCTGCAGCTGAAAAGGGCACGGTTTGAATTAACTTTGACGGGGTTCGATCCCAGTCACGTTGGGGAGATGAACACCATAAAGAGTATTGAATTGACAGCTAACTGCTGTTCAGTAGCAGCTTTTATTGTCGTCTGGACAGGACAGAACCTGCTCTCATCTCTTTTGGGACAGGGCTTTTAATTTCTTCTTTCTTTTTCCGTCAAGTTAACGGGCTCATTTCTAAAATTACAGTTAGGTGTTGGAGTTGTGTTCTTTCCTTTTTAATTTCAGTTCGGCGTTTGGTGAATAGTATTATTTAACAGCAAAAGCTGTTCCAACCCAACTGCTATAAATTTATCTCATTTATCATTTTGAGCTTTGATGTCAATTTTGCCTGGCATTTTTCTTAAACTTAACATCTCCCTAATCCTGAAACTTGAAAAGTTCTCATGCTCTCTCTTCGTAACATCTCTTATGGATGTGAAATGCAAAATGTTAAATTCGAATCCAAATTATCATGAATTAAAAAAGACTTTTAAAAGGTAGTGAAGCCCATCTCTAAAAGTTTTTGGAATGTCAGTTTTGAGACGATGCTTAGCCGCTTTAAATCCATTTGAGATTTTGAATGGTTGAAATAGGTTACCTCTCTAATTCTTGTCATTTCAATAATATGTGAAAAGGTTCCTATGTACGCAAGTGACGCTAATTAAGCCTGTCTGTGAATCAAACACATTTCGATTTTGATGTGGCGAGTAAAGGACAAAGTCATGGTTCTTGTTCTTGGTGAAATGGATCATCGACACCACGTAGAACTCACATGAAGATTTCATTCCCCTTCTGTTAACGAATTCGCAATTTGAAGCGAGAACATATAAGTAGCAATGAAGACAGTGAAGTCAATTTCAAGCATAAGAAGACAAGTGTCGGATCTCCCTACAACGATCTGGACACGGCATACCCACTCGATGACATTTTTTTTTTAATTCTCGTCATTTCAATAATATGTGAAAAAGTTCCTATGTAAGCAAGTGACCTAATTAAGCCTGTCTATGAATCAAACACATTTTGATTTTGATGTGGCGAGTAAAGGACAAAGTCATGGTTCTTGTTCTTGGTGAAATGGATCATCGACACCATGTACAGAACTCAACCTGGGAGTGGGAGAGTTCCAACTTGTCATCTGTTGCAGCTCATGAGATCTCATACTGGCTTCTTCTTTGAACTTCAAGAAGTAAGTGGATGACCAGTAATCGTTTGCCAAGTTCTTCAGCAAGAGGGTAAAAAACGAAAGAAAAAGAAGAGCTTAGAAATCAATCCAGTCAGTTAAAAAACAAATACAAGTTTGGGAACCAGAAAATTTCATCCTACCATTTTCATCAACTGTATCAGCTCATTCAATGCATCATTGAACAGATTTGGCTGTGCCAGATTGGAAGTAGTCAAAATCGCTTGCCTGCTTCGGTGAGAAATGTTCACCTCCATTGTTGCACCTGTATCATGAAAATTGAATGACATGCCCAACACACTTACAAGACTTAACTCCTAGCTAGGGTGAGGCTAAGGTTGAAGGTAATGCATTATGCATATCCTTAAGCAACACACTTAAAATATACGTTCTTATTGACGAAACCACAAACCTGCAGTTATGTACTTGTCGATGATATGTCGTGCCATGTAAATCCTTCTTACAGGGTCATCCACTGGTATCTTACCAAGTTCATGCACTTCCTCATAAAAATGCACACTCTCCCCTGCCAAACAACTGTGATTAAGAAGAAAAAATAGAATAAAATAAATACATTATGTGGCACACAATCAATTATGTTATTTCTTATCTCAAAAGTCCCTACAAAAAAATAGATCCCACTGGAAGTTTGTGATAAATTAATAAACGATCTTTGAAGGTTCCATTTGTGTGGATAAAAAGCATTTTCAGTTAGCTTCTGGAGAAAGTCTTCTTCTGTACTCAAGGGTAGTTTCTGCATAAAAGTTATCCTCGCAAATGTATTATCAAAATATGAAACTCAGGGAAGAACAGAACACCTGTCTGCAAAGGACATGAAGGACTGACGGAATCTTTTGTTCATAAGCAGTTTATCAAGTGGCTCATTAGGGTCTATCACTGGTGCTGGTTCCCTTGGTAATAGTAGTCCACTGTTAGGTATACCCAGAGCCTGACCCATTGTCTCAAATGCTAGGGGTTCCCTTTTCCTCAAGCTGATTTGCGATAGAAGAGGTTGTGAACTTGATATCGAAAAGAAAGATAATACAAGAATGCTTGCCTGTAATATATACCTTATAAATGTTAGCAAAACACACAAGTTGGAAGACTTCTATACCAGTTCAAAATATGCAAAAGTACTACCAGAGGATAAATCATACCGTAACTAAGAGCGCAAATCTAGAGACAACTTGAAGCCATGAGATATCATCATGAATTTCATTCAAAATGTAAGCAGCAACCCATACTCCTGGAAGAAATAAGGAGAACCAATTAAAAGCAGGGTCAACAAGCTGTAGACCACAGTGGTGTAGAACCAATTACAGCCCTGTGATTGGAAAAATCAAAGTATATCATTTCTGAGTAAACCAAAAGAAGATCACAGTGGTGTACCAATAGAAGAGGCTGAGACAAGTATTCCCTGCCAGAGGTCTCTAAGTTCATCAAACCTGAACTCTATATGCCGTATAGCCCCCGTGAACCCAACCAAAATGGCAACATAGATTGCGTGAAGGGACACAACTGGGATGATCCACTGAGTCCCCATGTGGCATCGATCATTTAGAGGCTTCTTGACATGCATAACTATAAAACATACAAGAGACATTGTGTAACAGGCAATTGGAGTGGATATCCAAAGTATAAATTATTTCAGAGACTCTTACGTGCAGCCCCAGCAATCCATGGCAAGAGAATTAATGGAAGGAAAATATAAGATCTGATTGGTGGTAGACACCTCCTGAAAGATTGATTGCACATAAGTGGAGCACATAGGTTATCCAAAATAGTCCAATATAAATGCAACCTAAATATCTTTCTGAATTGGTTTTAGTTAATTTAGAGAATGTCCAGCAGCTTAAATGTCTGATTGAATACTTGATGAGTTGCAGCCCAATTGTAATATTGAGATTTACAATCTAATTTTAAATTCTCAACTATGTAAAACATTTGCTTACTTGACAAAAATGTAATACAGCTGGAAGGCCTGTGATATGCGACAGCTCAGTAATAAACCAAAGCCAAGTGGAGCTTCAATCCAGACTGAAAGCAAAAGATACTTTAAATAGTACACAAAACTAGAAGTATTCTCAAATAAGAAACTGAATGAGTAACTTTAAATGTATGAGTCATGATAAAGGCAGTGAACAACCTGCCCACGCATAGCAAGACTGCCACCAATGTCTCTTTTCGAATTTCAGAAAATTGACAGACATCTGCATAAAACATGCTGTGCTTTTAATGTTAACCATAGATTCCCATAACACAACTTAAAGTGGTCTAAGTTATCAAGAACATTATTGATGGACTATTGAACATATAAATCTATGATGTACCACAATTGACAACAGAAGGTTGAAGCTGGCGAAAATTTGAATAACTGGAATCCAAAAGCTACTGCGTTTCGGTAGAGGAATCTTGTGAATGGCAAAGGGCAAGATTAACCGCAAAAGAAGCCTGAAAGAAACAAAGCGACCAATAGAAAAGGATCAGAGTTAGTCTATTGAGAGAGGTTTTTCAGCGGAAAAGGATAATAATCAGAGAATAACAAAGACCACATGAGAAAACAAATCAGCAGTAACTAGTACCTTAGTCTTAATTGGTTTGACATGGTTTTCCACATCAGAATAGTACAACTTAGGACGATATTCTAATACCTTTGAACATCATGTGGGAACAATGAGGTCAAAGAACTTTGCTTATCAAACTTTGAGAATCAAATTATAGTTCTTTCCAGACTTATTTATTCAGAGAAAGCTAAAGGATACAAGGACTGATTGCCCACAAATTTGGATACTCTACCAGTAAATTTCACATGGAAATTTTAAATCTTTTGTTTGAACTGAAATTCTCTCAGAGACATAAACTCAAACAGACACCCAGAAAGCAACATGTTATAAGATTTCATCGAAACAAATTTCCCATCATTAAAACCATCAGAACCTCAGAAGCCCAAAGCAAACTCATTTGCAAACAACCAAGAAAACCCATTAAACTGTGATGATTTAATCAGATGGAGACCCACTAGAACAAGAAAAAAAGAACTTACAAAATGAAACAGACGGCGGATATAGCGATGGCTATGTAGTCGCTGGCACAGCCACCATCCACAGCACAGCTTGCCATTTTCTTTGCATTTGGGGAAATTTTGGGTTCACCCAGTACGTTTTAAGATCTGAAATTAGAAGAATTTAGGACGCCCGCCATCCCAAGGCATCAACTTCAAGGTGTGTCCTTTTCTGGGTCCAGAGGGGAGTTCAATCGAGAATGGCAGAATGGCATGCCCACATAATGTTTGACCAGAAGGGAACACAAGGGGAACATCTGCGGTCTTTTGTTGACAAATCCGAAGACTTAAAAAGGGTGCAAGTGTACACGTGGCTTGTTAGAAATCCATCGGATCAGAGTCTTAAAAGACGCACAGAACAGAACAGACTGATACTAGTTTTTATTTCTTTTTCATTTTTCTCTGGTTATAGAAATCGTTGAAGGGGTCTTGAGTGAAATTAATCGTGTGTTAATCAAACCATAGCTCCTACTGCTTGCAAGTAAGTGCAAATTAAGTTTAGATTAACCAATTTGAGCCCATATTGGCTATTTCAGATCATTCAGCCACACCCAATTTAAGTTGCATCAAGAAGAGATTGGGCAACCAAAAAAAAAAAAAATTAGAACTTTATTACTCAATCTTCAATGTACATCATTCTCCTTGAAGGAAAAAAGAGCCAAACAATCAATATTTAAAGGAAATAAATGGGGAAGGAGAAAAACAAGAACATCTCTCTCTCTCTTTCTTGTCTTAACCACAGCAAAGCCATTTGCTCTGCATCCAAAATGTAAATTACAGTTGAGATTCAATTCAATAGGTTAATTAGACCAACACATTGTTCACTAAAAACCTGTAATTAGGCATACATACCTTTTTGAAGTACTTATATTTGTCCTTCTTTTTACGGGCATCATATTTGTCTGGTGCTGCCAGAATCAATGGAGTTCCAGCGCCAGACCTTCTGTCATCTCTGGCCTTGTTGAATATGACAGTAAATCCTTCAGCTGTGGCAGGGTCGTTGACATCCCAGTCGCCAAATTTTGGTAGAGGGCCGCCTAGAGGCATGGCCTTCTCATACTGCAAATAAATAAACCAAACAAACTACCATTAACCATTGAGCCATTCATTTACCATATATATATAGCAGCAGAAGCAGCAGCAATGTCATTCCTTCCTGTCATGTGATATCAATTTCCTATACCACCAAAGCAATAATCTTGTTGCAATTTGCAAAATTATGCAGCAAATGTAATAATTATCAGCAAATTACATGATAGAACAAGTGGTGGTTGGTTGGCACATAAAAGTTAAGCCAAACAAAGCAAGGGAAAGTTTGCAACAGGGAGAGAAGAAAAGCAGAGCACCATTAATTAAAAACATTGCAGAATGAAAAAAGGATCAATTTTTATCAAATGCAGTTGACCCAACAGAGAATATTAGGAAAGAAGAAGAAAAGAAGATAAAAAAACAGAACTTACAGAAGGCATGATTGGTTAATCTGGATAGAGATTACAATTGATAGAGATGGCAGAGAGAATCTGGGTAAGGAGAAAAAGATAAGTGAGAGAGATAAAGAGAGAGAATCCCCTCTCCTGGCTTCCATTATAAAAGGCATAATAAATAAATAAACAGCGGAAGAGAACAAGGTCGAAAGATTCGGAATTTCCGAGACTGGCTCTCTCTAGTAGGTGCACTCGTCTCGGACGCGGGAACAAACCTTGCCGTTTGAAAAAGCGCGTTCTTGGTCAACGCGGCGTCTTTGTTTTCCTTATTTGATAGTTTCTAAGGTTGGTGGTGGTGCGTTGGAAAAACCGTACATAAGCGCGCAGCGGCTTTGGAACTTCCAAAGTTGTATTGTAATTTGTAACAGAGAGCTGCTGACGGCGTCAAAGTTTATATATTTATATAATTTCACTCATTTTTCTGTGAATTTTTTACTTGTTCTGCAATATTGCAGATGAATGCCATGTATGCTTCTTCATGAGCAATTATGGCACGTGTTGTGATATAAGTGAGCCAAAATTAAGATTTTCCCCCTCCTCGCCATTTTTATATTCAACGTTATAATTTCTTTCTCCTGTTCGTTGCTGGGGATTCTTTTTCCCTCACTTATGCCTTATTTTCACGAACATGGAGGAGGGGGAGAGATTGATGAGAGAGAGAGGGAGAGAGAGAGAGATGCTGAATGAAGGATAATTTATTAAGGCTTATTTGTTAAAATACTCTTTGTGATTTCCAAATCATTTCAGTTTGCCTCCTAAAGTTTTAAATGACTCAATCTTCCCCTTGAACTTTCATTTTTTGACGAAAATTGTCCTGTTCCGTTAGTTTTCAAATATAAATCATTCAATCCTTTGATGTGGAATTAGTATTTTAGTAATTTTAATTATTAAATATTAAAAATGCTTGGAATTATTCAAAGTCAAATATGTAAAATAATAAAAAAAAACATAAAAATTAAAAAACAAAAAAGAATGAACACAACCCTAAAGTTTTCATCATCTTCTTCGACTCCGTCGCACCACCACCCAACTGTACACCACAACCACATCAGTAGCCTCCCACAATCAGCAAATTGATCTTCCCACACAAATCTAATCGTCACCTTTCTAATTCTGATCTCCATCCATCTTAACCTAACACTTTACCCATGCCTTACGATATCTAGTCATCTCACTCTCCATCGAAACCTCAACCCAGCCACAGCTCCCCTATGAGATCCATTCAACCAATCTAACTAATATAAAAATGAACATTGATATGAAGAAAGTGGATCCGAAAAAGATTTTGGCTTTTTCAATTGGGCTTTTTGGGGGCGGTGGGAAGGTGGAGCAATTAGGTTGGTAGTAGAGGTGTCAAATAGATTGGGTCGGCCCGAGCACAACCAGCTTAAGTAAGGCTCGGCACGGCACAACCCATATCTTTGGGCTGTACCAAGATGAGGTAATTAGGTCCAATGGGCCAAGGCGGCCCGTGGCTTGTCTTGGGCAGTGCCGGCTTGAAATCCAACTGATCGGCCCGTTTAAAGCCCATTTATTAAATTATATTTATTTTAGAGAAAAATAATACATAATATTATTACATTTATATCTTAAATTCAAGTCTTTCTTTTATCTAATAATATGTATTAAAATTTAATGTTTTCTTTATATATAAAATAATGATTTTGTGTTTCAAGTTTCAAATTTTAAAATCCAAACAATAATCTAGTTATTTTCTATTTAAATGTACTTTAAATAAAGTTAGTGGCCTCTATTTTCAACAAATAATAAATCTTGTTAGTATATATAGAATTGTAAAAAAAAAATATTACAAATGAAGTTATAAAAAAGTTACAAAAACAAAAATGCAATACATAAGTCAAATTTGGTATGGGCCCATCTCAGTTTGTTTAGTGGCCCAGCACAAGCACGGCCTAAGATCATATGGGCTTGGGCCATGGACCCGTGTTGGGATGGTTTATTTTCATAAATAAATGTGCCGACTCTAAACGGGCGAGAGAGAGATAAGCAAGGATGGATCTAAAAATGATCTTATCGTTTGCTTCCCTGTAGCAATTGGGTTGTCTTCTCTTTTCAATTTTTTTTTATTTTCTTCTTCTTTTCTGAATTGGTGATTAGCGTTAGGGGTGGACGTGGTCCGGTTTCCACCTCACACTAGAACCGAAACAGGTACTATTCAACTAGTTCGGTCCGATTTTGGTGAAAAAATTTATGAAACCAGTCAGCCTGGTTTAAACTGATTCCGGTTTTTCCAGTTTTGGACCATATATATATTTCAATTTTTTTATTTACAAATTCAAACTAAAATTTTATTTTTTGGGCTTAAAAATTTACAAATGACCCAATTTCATGTAAAGATAAATGATTGGGCCTAGAAAAGAGAGGTGCTTTGAAGTTGGGCTTGAAAAAAATATTAGTTATGACATTGGAAATGTAGCATTGTACTTAATAATTTTTTTAAAAATTAAAAATAGATAGTCGATCCAATCATATTTTGTAAGGTGTGAAACCGCCACCAGAACTAGTTTGAATTGGTTCAGTGCCGGTTTATTTACTTTTTAGTCAACATTTCTTTTTTTTTCTTTCTAATTTTTTCCATCCGGTGTGGCTTGGTATTCAGATTTTTCGGTCTCGATGCCCACTCGTAATTAGCGTGAAGCTTAGGAAGATACATGTGGAGTGTGAAAGAAGCACTTCGATTTTAGAACAAATTCTGAGAATCAAGTGTTCTAAGAGTTGTTTGCCATTAAGAAGAGTGGGGGAAGGGGTGGTACGTTGGAGCAATGAATGGGGAGGGGAAGGTGGTTTTTTGGGGGTTGAGAGGGGTTACTGGGTTTTTAAGTTTCTTCTAAAATTAATTTATTTTTGGCTTATTTGTAGCAATGGTCCCTTAACTATACTCGGAGTTACATTTTGGTCACTCAACTCCACAAAATAGTTACAAAGGCCACTTGTTCGTGCTAAAAGTAAACAGATAGAAATAAAGCTAACTTACAAGTGACGTGGATGGTTTGTACCTGAGAAGCCTTCGGTCCGTGATTTCTTTCCTTAAGATGCCATGCTGGATTCCGTTTGGAGAAAGAAACGGCAGCCTTCGGTCGACGGTCGACACGTGCCTTAACAGGTTCTGGAGGGAGTTCAGAGGTTATTAGTCAGAATCGGCTGGATGTGCTGACTAGTCGCTCGGCATCACGTGCCGAAGGTTGGTGTGGTCAAGTCGGTCGATGTCACTTACCAACTTGACAACCACATATGAAACGGTGGAGTATGCCGATTGACCTTTCGGCATGGCTCACTGAGCTGGTCTCAACCTCGTTTACTTTCCACGTGTTATGACGTGAGTGGCGGGTCAGATATGCTTGTGTCCTTGAGCTCCGGCATTCTAACCCGGTTACGAGCGTCCTCCATCGTATACCGATTGTGGTGATCATGTAGTCCCCTAAGTCCCCAAGCCAAGGGGAGGTTGAACAGTGGAAGTGAACTGCTGCAGGAACCGAATCGGTCAGTACGAGAGGTGAGTGAGAACTCAACTACTGTGCGCCTGCCGTTCTGCACAAGAGGTGAGTGATAACTCGACCACGGTGCCCCTGCCGTTTGGCACGTGAGGTGAGTGAGAACACAACCATGATGCGCCTATCGTTCGACACGTGAGGTAAGTGAAAACTCAACCACAGTGCGGCTGCCGGTCGGCACGAGAGGTGAGTAAGAACTCAACCACGGTGCGCCTGTCGTTCGGCACGTGATGTGAGTGAGAACACAACCACGGGGCCGTTCAGCACATGAGGTGAGGGAGAACTCAATCACAGTGCACCTGCCGGTCGGCACGAGAGGTGAGTGAGAACTCAATCATTGTGTGCTTGTTGTTCGACACGTAAGGTGAGTGAGAACTCAACCACGGTGCGCCTGCCGTTCGGCACATGAGCACGTGAGGTGAGTGAGAACTCAACCACAGTGTGCCTGCCGGTCGGCCCGAGAGGTGAGTGAGAACTCAACCACTGTGCGCCTGCCGTTCGGCACGAGAGGTGAGTGAGAACTCGACCACGGTGCGCCTACCGTTCGACACGTGAGTTGAGTGAGAACTCAACCACAGTGTGCTTGCCGGTCATTGGGGAAGTTGTGTTTCGAATTGAAAGTCTGAGAGAATGTGAAGCGCTTGCACAAGTAGGAAGCGATGACGCTAGGGCTTTCTTGTGCATGTGTGACACGTGGCGGGAGGGCTGCGAGGGGTCGCGTCATTTCGTTTCCCGATGTGTCATTTCGTTTCCTGATACAAGGTTTATCCTATAAATGGGCCGAAGAGACGGTGGGAGGGTTACTTGAGAATTTGAAAGCGAACGAGCTTGTGAGATATGATTTTTGGTGAGTGCACTGCAGTGGTAAAGGCGATTTCTGGCATGTTCGAACCATCGTGTAAACAAGGTAAGCTGCCATGTTTACGTTTTACATGAATCAAATTCTTCAAATGTTGTATGAACATGCATGAACATGGACGAATGTAGATGAGTATAAGCTCTTGGGCTGTAGGGTAGGAGTTTGATCCTGGCATGGCGTTTAATGTTTTTTCGCTATTATTTGTAGATGTCAGAGACCGAATCAGACTATAGTGATAGCCCAAAAGCATTTGAGGGAGAATCGGTATCAGAAAGATCGACTGCAGGGCTTGGTAGTGTCGATTCTGAAGGAGTCAAGGGGGTAGGGGTGTAGTGGTGTTTACCGATTCTAGAAGCACTTTGAGTGTCGAGGTTAATAACTCTCAGCCATCGATATTTGGTCATTGAAAGGGGGCGACCGAGGCTGATGCGTCAGTTGCCGATCCTAAGGAGGGCGTGTTGATTGTGGTTACCGGCCGACAAAAGGTGCCGATGGCGAAGCCAAAGGGCCTGATGTTCGGCGTAGACTTCTTAGAGCCGAACGCTTTGAATGAATCTGAATTGGCGAAAATTAAGGCGGAGTACCACATCCTAGATTCGGTGGTGATGCAGATCCCCGGGCCATTGGAGTCATGGAGCAATCCTGACGATGAGGTGGTCTTCTTCACTAATGCCTTCAAACAATGGCTTCAACTGCCGTTGAGGCATTCGGTGCAGAAGATCCTAGATTAAATTAGTTATGCTCCG